AGAGCTCCACGGCTTTGTGGCTGGCCAGTGTCTGCTTTATCCTGAGCCTCCACTTGCTAAGAGGGAGAAGCCAGGCTGGCCTGTGTCTGCTTCATCCTGAGCCTCCACTTGCTAAGAGGGAGAAGCCAGGCTGGCCTTGGTGATCCATCTATAGGGCTGGGGCTGTATCAGTTTCCTACTGCTGCTGTAACAATTTTCCACAAACTCAGATTCCTTATCTCAAAGCTCTGGAAGCGTCAGCATTCTTCTGGAAGCTGCATTTCTTCTGGAAGCTGTCAGGGAGGATCCAGCTCACACTGTTCCAGCTTCCAGACTGTCTGCCTTCATTGCCTCGGGCTTCTTCCTTCATTTTTAAGACCAGCAGTATAACATATTTAGATATTTCTATCTGATCTCTGCTTTTGTTGTCACATCTTATCTGACTCTGGCCCTCCTGCCTCCAGTTCATAGGGACCCTTGTGTTTATGTTGGGTCCACATTACTAATCCAAGATAATCACCCATCACCAGATCCTGAATTTAATCACATATGTAAAATTCCCCTTTGCCTGTGAGATTAGATTCACAGTTTCCAGGAATTAAGATGTAGACATCTTAGGGGGGCATTGTGTGGCCTCCCACAAGGTAATCACCCATTTTGAAGGTTGTGTATTCAACCTAGGTGTATTAGTCACCTAACAAAATGCCACCCATTGGGTGGCTTCAGTGACAGACATTTGTCTCACAGTGCTGGAGGCTGCGATCCTAGGTCAAGGTTTTGGCAGGCCTGGTTCCTTCTGCGGTCTCCCTACTTGGCTCACAGATGCTAAGTAGCCCCCTCTGTGTCTTCCCATGGTTGTCCCTCTGTGTGTGTCTGGGTGCTCATCTTTTCTTAAATGGCACCAGGCATATTGATTGGTCTAATGGTTACCCTAATGACCTTGTAACCTCATTGTCTCTTCAAAGGCCCTTTCGCCAAATCCAGTCCCACTCAGAGGCACTAGGTATCAGGTATCTGGGAGACAATGCAATTCAGTTTATAACACCTGGTGTCACAGGATTGGCAAATCATCCTGACAGTCTTGCTTTATTGTTTTGTCTTCTCCCAAATACGGCAGAATTCCCTACATTAGGGGTCATGCCCACCTGCCCCACGGTTGTGTCCCCCAGGTGAGGCATGAACCCCTGTGTGAAGCAAGGGCTTGGTGGATTGTATGGACTGAACAGCAAATGCTTGTTCATCTTTTGTGGGAGACAGGAACCCATACCAGAGTGGGTCTGCCATTGATGTATTCAGGGAAGGGAAGAGGCAGATCTGGAAGTCCTATATCTGGAGGTTTTTTTTTTTTTTCTACTGTAGATTAGTTTTTTCTGTTTTAGTACTTACTTAAATTGAACCAGATAGCATGATGAAGGCTACTTCCTTGCTTCTTTGGCTCAGCATTATGTTGGTGAGATATATCCATGTCAGTGCATATATCAGTTGTTTCTTTTTCTTGCTAAGTTGTTTGTTTGAAATAAGGTCTTGCTACATTGTTTAGGCTGGCCTTGAACTCACTAGCCCAAGCTGGCCTCAAACTGGTGGCAATCCTCCTGGCTCAGCCTCCTGAGTGCAGGGATTACAGATGTATACCATCATGCCCGGCTGCTAAGTAGTAGTACATTTTATGAATATACAAGTTTATTGGGTTTCCCATTGGTGGATAACTTGAGTTTTGTCAAAATTTGGAAATCTGAAATAAAGCTGCTATAATCATCCTTGGCTAAGTCTTTATGAGCGTATATTTTAATTGATCTCCGATAAATATCTAGATATAGAATTATTTGTTCAAAGGGTAAGTTCATGTTTAATTTAATTTAATTTTAATTTATTTATTTTTTTGTTTGTTTTTTGAGACAGGGTCTCACTGTGTAGCTGAGACTGACCTGGAACTCATTATGTAGCCCAGGGTGGTCTTCAACTCACAGCGATCCTCTTGCCTGCATATTTAATTTTATAAGATATTGCCAAATCTTATTCCAGAGTACTTATATAAATTCTACATTGATTCCCATGAACAATGTGTGAGAATACCCATTTCACCCTAATATTTGGTGATGGTGGTCTTTTAAGTTTAGCCACTATTGTGGCTATGTAATGGTACCATATTGTGTTGGTTTTATTTCAGTGCTGGGAAATATAACCCAGGGCCCTGAACATGCTAAGCATCAGCTCTACTACTGAGCTATGCTCCCAGCCTGATATTGTGATTTTCATTTGCATTTCCTTTGCCTTTTTCTGGGGGGGGTCCCTGGGATTGAACTTGGGTCCTTCTGCTTGCAAGGCAGGTGGCAGAACTACTCAGCTAAATCCCCAGCCTCTGCATTTCCTTGATAACTAAAGATGCGGAGCACATTATCATGTACTTGTTGGCCACTTATATAATCCTTCTGATGTTTCTGTTTTTCCTTGTCCTGTTTTTAAATTGGTCATTTTGTTATTTTCCAGGGGCTGTTATACTTCTGTATACTGATCTTTTGGTAGCTGTGTTTCTGTGGAGTTTTCATTTATCTCAGTGGATTTTTGAAATACACAAAAGTGGAGAATTCAGCAAAATGAACACCAGTGCACTAACATTCAGCCTCAGCCAAATGTCAATATTTTGCCAGTCATACAACTCCCACATTTTTTGCTAGAATATTTTATCAGTTGTTGGGGTGCAGGATGATGATCTCATTATGTTGTCCAGGATGCTCTTGAACTCATGTGCTCAAATGATTCTCTTGCATTGCTGTGAGTTTGAGGCCAGCCCGGGCTACACAGTGAGTTCAAGTCTAGCTTGAATTACAGAGCAAGTCCCTGTCTCACAAAACCAAATAGCAACAACAAAAACTGATCCTGTTACCTCTGCCTTTTGAGTGACTGCATCTACAGGTACACTACCATGCCTGTGTCGGAATATTTTAAAGCACCTCCCAAATATTGTGTCATGTCACTCATAAATACTTTCATTTTCCATATAGTTTGCTGCTGGATTTGTCCACTTCTTCTTGTGTGATTTTTAGGGTGCATCATATTTACAAAAAATTCTGATGTAGCAAAGGTCATGAAAAATGTTAATGTAGCATTGATCTGTCTAAAGCAATAGGAAACTCCATCTTTTCCTCACTGGCAGCTCGCAAAATATGCGACCGAGATATTAACTGAGGTGCTGGCAGGAGAAAACACTCCCAAACCCCTTCTCGTTACTGAAGACAGTAAAGCCCAAGAACGGGTTTAACAGAAGATTAAACATTTTCCTGGTGTGCTGTTTACACATCTCAAAAAATTCTAATTATAAAATTGTCAAAAGAAAAAAAAGAAAAAGAAAAAAATGTCCAAAACTTAGAAATGAAGCAGAGATCATTGTGTTTTATTTCAGAGCCCAGTTGAGCATTGTTTAGGGTTCTCTCTGGTGGTTCACTTGGAAATTTTACAAAGTTGTAAGGGTGGATCTGTTATGCTATAGGCAAACAAATGCCCCTTGGCTCTATCAGGGCAATTAAGCTTGGTTTCATATAAATGGAAAGAAGAATACAATAAAAATGTACAGGTTTATTTTGTTTTGCAGCTTTATTCCTATTCCCCCCTCCCCAGTGAGTAATGTGCTTTTCTCTTTTAATATCTTTGCAAACAGCTTTATTATCTTGCTGTTTCTTCTATCAAGGAGTTAAATTCACTATCAACTTTATTGAATACATTATTATTATTGTTATTTTGCAGTGCTGGGACTTGAACCCAGGACCTTGATGGGCATGTAGTCTGTGCTGAGCTATACCCCTAGCCCCCAAACACATTATTATGTATAATGAAAAACACCTATTATAAGTATATAATTCAATGAGGTTTGAGAAATATATACACCTGTAAAACCACCACACAAGGTATGAGCATTCCCATCACCCTCAAAATGTCCCTGTGTCCATTCCCAGTTAGGTAGAACCTGGGCCCCAGGCAACACTTGATCCTCCTGTCACCATAGATCAGGATTGTTTTTTCTAGAGCCTCGTGTCAGTGAAGTCATTAAGTCTTCAACGTCAGACCTCTTTTACTAGCACATCTGTGAGATTCATCTATATCACAGAATATGTCTGGAATCGGTTCCTTTTTCTTGTTGTATAGTATTCCCATTCTATTGATGGCATTTTGTATTTTTCCTCTTTGTGACAATTAAAAATGAAACTACTCTGAACATTCATGGAAACATTTTTTTTTTTTTGTACTGGGGATCGAACTCAGGACTTTGCACTTGTGAGGCAGGAGGTGGAACCACTGAGCTAAATCCCCGGTCCAATACAATTTTTTTTTGGATGCATGGTTTTGTTTCTCTTGGTAAGCACCTATGAGGGTAGTTATTGGGTTATGTGGTAAATGTGTGTGTGGGTGGAAACTGCCAGACCTTCTTACAAAGGATTTATATCATTTTACCCTCCCACTAGCAATGTATAAAAGTCTCAGTTCCTCATATCTTTGCCTGTGCTTTATGTGATTAATCCTTTCACATTTAGCATCCACTTAGGTCCAGGGATTTATCTCAGCAGTGCCATGCCCACCTTGTAAGCACAAGGTCATGTGTTTGATTCCTGGTACTGAAGAAAAAAAATTAGAATTCACATAAATGTGTAGAGTTATCTAATTGTTAAAGAAATAATTACTCTAGTACTTATTTTGAGATAGTCTTGCTATGTTGCCTCGCTTGGCCTTGAGCTCTTTGGCTTAAAACATCCTTATGCCTCAGCATTTTAAGTAGCTAAGATTACAGGAATGTACCAGGAGGACCCTTTTTAATAATTTTTGAAACAATTTCTAACATAAATTTCAAGCACAAGTATTTTCTTGAACCATTTTAAAGTAGTTCACCTGACATCCCATGGCCCCTGCAGAGTTGTGTGCATTTTCCACACACAAGGATGTTCTCCTGCATACCCACCACACAGGCATCAAAATAAGGACATTGACGTTGCTATGTCAATGCTATGGGACACAGCTCAGGTAGTCTTATTTAATCTGGAACAGCTCCTCAGTCTTTCCTTGACTTTCATGGTCTTGGTGCTTTCAAAAATCACAGGCCAGTGATTTTGTAGAGTGTTCCTCATTTCGGTTTATCTGTGGTTTCCTCATAACTAGATCCTAGTCACATATGGGAAGATTGCAGGTGTGATGCTGTGCTCTCCTGCTTTGTGTTATCAGCTAGGGACACCATTTAAATTTGTTCCCTTTACCACTGAGCTCCAGTTTGATCTGAATCTTCAGTATTTGCTTCAGAGAGAAAAGGAAAGGAATAGCAAGGATATGGTAATTGAAATGGAAAAAAACACACAATCCCCCATTGATCTATTATTTGAATAATTTAGATTAATCCTGTACCTAGTTAAAAGATAGCAAAGATGTGGCCCGAGTCTGTACTTTTAATATTTTGCTTCATGTAATATTTAAGACACAAAAAGTACACAGTATCACTTGAATTATAACATAACTCAATATATGTACAAATATTTTTAAGTAATTATACGAATGCACATGTAATATATGGTATACAATATAACAGAACATAGTGGAATGTCATGTTGTAATTTAAATTCTTAAATTACCCAAGAATTAAGCAACTGCCAATTAAGTTGTTTCCCTATGTATCCCTCGTCAGCTACAGTCTACTCAGAATTTACCTAGAATTTAACTGGCTCAGGATCCCCTAATAAAGTGACAAAATCCTGAGTTTCAGAGGCAATTTGGGGCAATTAGATTCTAATTCAACCCAGATTTCTTACAATAGCTGCTAGTTTCTTGTGACCTCTGGTGGTGACACGTGGAATTGCAGCTTCTCATATGCCATCCTTGTCAGGATTTATTTTCTAATTCTTTGCTAAAATTTACTTTGAAAGGTAAAAGACAATTTTCTCTTAAATTGGATATATTAAACTTACTTTACAAACTTTCTGTTTCTATACGTGGCCGCCACGCATTGATGAGAATACACATTAGCTGCTGTTATAACTTTATGTGAAGGAACATTTTTCTCTTATTAATTAAACAAACATTGCTAATATATTGCAGGCACACAAATGAAGCAAAATTAAAACATTGATGAATATAGATAAAGGGTGCATTTACAATTCGTGATACTTTTCTGTTCAAAGTACATATAAAAAAGATCTGATAACAATCTCTTTTAAAATGATTTTCCATTTTGCAGTCAACATATTGTTTTAAAGAAAAAAAGGGTAGAATGCAGCAAAGTAGAAAGAAGACAGCCCATCGGGCACTGGCACGCATCACAACCCGCCTGCCCTGGAAGATGGGTGGGTGGGGGTATTTCCGCAGGATGTTGAGGAGCAGGAACGCGCTGGGTGGAGAATACAAAGTAGAGAGACTAGGGGAAAGGAAATGAGCAGCTGGGCATAAGGGATAGGCCATAAGGGGAGGTCACTGGGCCAGGTATGAGATCTGGACATGTCGCAGTCCTCCTCAATGAGCTTCCTCAACCCTTGGCACATAGCCCGGGTTTAGAACATGATTTTGGGTTGAATCGCTGACTATACAAAAGCACGCCCCAAGACACCTTTCCATCCCGTAACGTGCTCTGCTTCTATGCTAGCTCGAGAGCAAGGGCAAAGGAACCTCGAAGCCTTCCAGACTCAGGCTGAGAGCTCGGTTTCCAGGGCAACAAGCACGGGGCCTCTCTCCTTCCGCTCTCTCTCGTGCGTCATTTCCGGTCTCTCCCCTCTTTTTTCCCTCCTGGTTGAAGACAAGTTCCGATTGGCACCAGAGCGTCGAAGGGGGAGGTATTGGGAAGGGCTGGCCAAAATGAGTCTTCAGTTCTGTGATAGGAGCTTTGCTAGGGGTAGGGGGAGTTTAGCTTCCGTCTCCTTAACCAATCTCTTTCAAATCTGCCTAGGCGCGGAGGGAAAGTGATGTTTCTGTGCTGCCGGCCATAGAGCATGCGCACTTCCGTCGAGGTGCCTTAGCTGGAGATCCTTGGCTCCGGGATTTCTACGCAACGTGAAGGAACCTAGAGGAAGAAAGGCTTGGGGGTGGCCGTAGAGGGGCGGGAGGGCGGGCGAGCGAAGGCGTTGATTGGCCAGCTGGAAGCCCGGCTCCTAGGATCCTAGTCACGGCCTTTCATTCATTCGTTCATTCAAGGAATGGATTCACCGAAAGTTCCCTGGGAGTAAGTGTACTACTCTGAGTTTGTGATAGGCGTTGAGGGTTCAGAGATGAGAAGCACCATTTCCTGTCCTCGAGGAGCCTATACTTTAGCAGAGAGTGCAGTGTGCCCTCCTTTCCCCGTTCAAGTCCGATGTGATAGAGTTGTTGCACAAGGAGGAGACACTCGGCCCACTTCACTTAGTGGACCTTCTCCGGTGGGTCCACTCTGAAACTCCTGAGCTAGCATCCTGGCTAGACGCTTCATTACTGAGCCCTTAGGTCGTTTGTCTTTCACCTCTGAAAAAATAGGCTAGCTGTCTCCCAGAGTGATTGTAAATTTTATTTTTAATTTATTTTTTTGGGACTGGGGATCGAACTCAGGACCTTGCACTTGCGAGGCAGGAGGCGACACCACTGAGCTAAATCCCCGGGCCTGTTTTATTTTTTGAGACAGGATCTTGCTATGTAGTTTAGGCTGGCCTCGCACTGACTGTGTAGCCCAGGTTGGCATCGAACTTGCAGCAATCCTCCTGCCTCATCCTCCAGAGTGCTGGAACTATGGGTGTGCACCACCACGCCTGGCTTTGATTGTGAAATTTTTTTTCTTTTTTTTTTTTTTGTACCGGGGATCGAACTCGGGATCTTGCAGGTGGCAGGACCACTGAGCTAAATCCCCACCCCTGATTGTAAGTTTTAAAATGAGCTTGGCACTTACCTTGAGGTTGAATCTGAGCGTCATTGTAATTTTAATTTTCATTGCCTGGTTTGCATCTTATTTCTCAATTGTTCAACACCAAGAAAAGGAAAAAAGGAATGCTATTACTTTTCAAACCTGAACTACCAGCCTTATAGAATTAGTGTGAGGATTATGAGCTATTTATGACTGTCATACTGCTCATTACATGCCGGCTTGGAGGTCCATAAATGGTAGCTACCGTCACTGACTTATTTTGAGGGAACAGGTGTGAAGATTTAATCAAGTGATTGCTGCTTAGTGGTACTAAATAAATGTTTAGTAAGAAGGTTTCTTCCCTCAATTTATGAACTAGAAAGTTCAGGTGAGACAGCACTGTGGGCAATCACCATAGGAGACTTCACATTAAGAGAGTCTTATGACATTGGGGAGTAAGAAATCCTTTGCAGTCCTATGGGAAATCAAAACCCTTAGAGATGATGGCTTTCGTCTGAGGTGGAGTGATTGTATCACCCAACCAGAACAATTCAGCCAGGACAACAGTCATAGTTTGTAAATGTCCCAGGCAAATAAAGATAAATGGTCATGTTTACTGGACACTCAGGTCTGTAGTACTTGTTGCTCCCTAAGGAACTCAAGAGGTGGAAAAAGTGTTTTCAAAGCTAGCTCCGAAAGGGCTTCCAGTCTCCTGAAAGCTCCATTTCTCCACGTTCAAGTGTTCAAGGGTGTTTGCTGCAAGACTGGGAAGAAATACAATGAAAGGAAATTCCACAGCTGTTTCATCCTTACCTCTTGGAGCCAGCACCTACATAGTCTTTCCACCTAGCTTTCTGGAAGAGGTGTTACTTTTCTGTCAATTCATCTGGATAGAGAAGAGGGAGTAGCAGTTTACACTCAGAGCATGAGGAAGTTGGAGAAGAAGCTTCTCTCTCTCTCTGTTTTTTTTTTTTTTGCACCAGGCATCAAACCCAGGACCTTGTACTTGCCAGGCAGGCAGCAGCACCAGTGAGCTAAATCCCTGGACCCTTGACTTGGAACTCACTATGTAGCCTAGACAGCAATTCTCCTGCCTCAGCCTTCCCAGTGCCAGAATCATAGGTGTGTGCAAACATGCCTGGCTAAGCAGCCTATCTCTAAAAGAAAAATATTCCTAATTTTTATATTTCTCTTATTCTCTCAGTTACAGTCACCTTATCCCAGAACTGTGTATGTAGCATGTGACAGAATCTCTCACTGTCTCAGGTTGCTTTCTCATATCTTATTTTGTTTAAGTCTAATAACAGCACTATGAAATGATTATCTCTATGTCATGGATGAAGACATTGAAGTTTATAGTTAGGGAGCAGAGTAGGGGCACAGCCTGTGCTTTCCAACTTGTGGCTGTGATAATTAATCCCACCAAACCTCTTGGGCCTTGGTCCTATTCTTTGAGATCCCCATGACTGGATGTTTCAGGGAAGCAGATTCTGGCTGTGTTTTTTTTTTTTTTTTTTTTTTTTTTTGGTTTGGTTTTTTTTTTTTTTTTTTTTTTTGGTAGGCTGTGTGTTTTTTGTTTTGTTTTTGGTACCCGGGATTGAACTCCGGTCCTTGCGCTTGCAGGGCAGGCAGCAGAACCACTGAGCCAAATCCCTGGCGCTCTGGCTGTGTTTACTGGGGAATTTTCTGATAGAGCTTACTAACTGAATGTTTACCCCCCATTCATATGTTGAAATCTAATTTGCATGTGATGGTATTAGGAGAGGGGTCTGTTGGAGGTAAGTAGGCCATCAGGTCTCTGCCTTCAACAGTGGGATTAGGTTTTCTAAGAAGAGGTCAGAGAGCTAGCTGGCTTTCTATCCACTATAAGAATATAAGAAGTTAATCTGCAAGCCAGAAGAGGGCTGCATTAGCCTGTTTTCTGCTAATCACACAATATTAAAGACTGGGTAAATTATGAATAAAAGATGTTTATTTTGACTCAGTTCTGGAGGTGTCAGGGTTGAGGGACTATATCTGGTGATGGCCTTACTGGCAGAGCCCCAAGGCAGCAGCGTGCCATAGAGCAGGACCTGGGAGCATGCTGTACCTGTGTTTCTGTCTGGTCCCTTCCTCTTCTTAAAAAGGCACTGGGATTTAATCTTCGGGGGTGCCACATGGATCCTAATCATCTCCAAAAGGCTCCACCTCTGAATGACAAGGTTATATTAAGTTTTCACCCTCTCAGTACCCTATACTGGGGATCAAATTTTAGCACCTGGAAACATGGGCAGCACTCAAATCCCAGCAAGGCCCCTCATTAGAACTTCACCATGGTGGCACACTGATCTCAGACTTTCAACCTCCAGAAGTGTGAATGGTAAGTACTTGGTGTTTAAGCCACCCAGTTTACCCTAACTTGTTATAGCAGCCCAAGCTGACCAAGACAACTACCCACAACATCAAAGTTTTCCACCTCAGTTAGGACCTTTGCAGAAGGAATCTGGTGTGGGTGTGAGGTTGTTAGACATGAGAGAAGGGCCTGCCCTTCCCCGAGAGGCACTTTTTTCTAACTGTGGCTCAACTAAGTGCCTGATAGGTGTCTGTGGCTACATGAAGCACCCCACAGTTGCTATTAATTGCATAAGTTTTGCTGCAGTTAGTTGAGTCTACTCCAGAGGACTCTGCTCTTCAACTCTGCTGGGTGACTCTGCCCCTGTGCAGCCATCCTCAGTGAGGTCTGTCAGGAGCCCTTCCCCTTCCTATGACTAAACAAGTCTGAGAATATGTGTGTGAATCTGCCTTTTTTCTATACAAGCAACTTTTCCTATACCCTTCGTGTGTCAGTCCATATGCAGCCCCCTTAGGCTGTAGCCTAAGTCCTAATAAAGCCTCTTGTAACAGGGCGTGGTGGCGCATGCCTGTAATCTCAGCACTCGGGAGGCTGAGGCAAAAGGATTGCTGGTTTGAGACCAGCCTGGGCTACATAATGAGTTAGTCTCAACTACACAGTGAGACCCTATCTCTAAAAACAAAAAAACCAAAACAAAAAAAAGATGCTGGCTGCTGGCATTCAAGTTTCAGGGTATTAACACTAAATTGGTATTCATAGCCTAGCTACACTTTGCTTACTCATGATTTGTATATGAATTGGGTAAAAGAACCTTCATCTGACTGAGAAAATCTTGGTGGTCTGGATGGGTGACTTCCCTTCCAAATGACAGAAGATGACAATGTTGACAGTAGTCATAAACCTACCTCACAGATGAGAAGTAGCTGCCTGAAACTTCAGTGTCAGCCATGACTGAACCAGTTCACGTCTTATTTACTTCTTTTTTGGGGGGGTACTGGGGCTCAAGCTCAGGACCTTCTGCTTGCAAGGCAGGCAGCAGAACCACTGAGCTAAATCCCTGACCCCTCTGATTTACTTCTTACATGCAGCTAAAGGCCCAAGCTAGCTGGTGATGGTTGGAGCTGATTGTTTTAGATTCCTTTCAACTTTGGGAGTCTATATAAATTTCAGGATGGCAGTCTTTGTATATTCTGGGTGGCTTAAACATTCAGAGAAGATACTTGGCAAATGTTAAAGCTAGTAAAGAAGCATATATACTCAGGCCTAGTGTCAGCCCTGGTCCACCTTGAAAACTCCCACTTGGTGGTGATTGTAAGACTTAAGTCTCACTTTTACTCCTGGAGCGTGAACAGCCAAGAGGCTTCCACGATGCTGGGCTCAGAAGCTCAGTGAGGCTCCAGGAGCTTGTCGGATAGCGAGAGTCACCCAGGAAGGAACACACCAGGCAAGTTGGCAAATAGACCTTTATTAGTCTGGCCAGATGGCACTCCCCAAGCCAAGTAGCTCAGAGAGGCGGCTAGCTCAGAAACAGAGGCCATTTTATATAGGGCTGAAGTGGGGTTTACACTTAAAACTTACAGGAAGAGGACAAAGGCAAAGAATCAGCTGATCTGAGCTAGTGGTCATCAAGCATATACTTGACCGTCATGTACTAATGATCAGCAGATCGATTATCCATTATTCCATTTACAACTTAGATTATAATGTTCAGAACATTCAACTACAGGCAAGTAAGGAGTGGCATGATTTGTGTTGGGTCTCTGTGTTCACTACAGTTTCCATTTAGTTTCCCAGCTACTTCAAAGCAGTTACCTAACAATTCACAATTAATCATTAGTTATCCTATAAGGGATGGGGGGGGAGTGACAGTCTCTAGGTCGTTTACTGGTCAACATGGAGTCACTCTGGTTCAGTCAGGCTCTTACATGATAGGGCTGTGGAAAGCTTGCTTGTTGAGCCTCCATGTTTTCATTTGTGAAGATGTAGAATAATAGTCCTTGCCCTCTCTCCCATGTAGAGTGATAGTGAACTAATGAAACAGGTACATTGTAAACTTGGGAAATTCTGTACAAAAATAAATGTCTCTTTAAATTGTTTATCCTGTCCCTTTGTAGAGAATTAGAACAGATTACTAAGGATACAGACTGGTGGAGTTAGGCAGCCCTGGATTTGAGTCCCTAAATAGCACCAGCTGCTTGCATGAACCTAGCCAAGTGGTATATCCTTTCCTGACCTCAATGCTCAGAATAGCTACTCTTTTGTGGATCTACAAGTCCACAAGTTAAGCACGGAGCCTGGGTCTTATCACACAGACCTCCATTAGTGGTGGCCTTTTAAAATACTTCTTTTCTGGGTTCCCTGAACTATTAATCCTATGCCCTCTTATCACCATGGAGGAGCCACTGAAGCAGCTTTTTGTGTTGTCTGGTAGACATTCTTCCTCAGCCCCTAGTACTTCTGCAGAAAATGCTTCCTGGCTGCCTGGCATGTTAGAAATCACTTCTGCCTAATTTGCCCTGAAGAAGTGTTTTGTTTATAAATCATTGCTTACAAAACAATTCAATAGAAACTCAATTGGTTTTCCACTGGCCCTGGGCAGGGATGAGGGATAGCATATTATTATTTTATAAAAGATGAACAATAAGTCATAAAACAGCCCTGACCACGTAGCAGAGTCAATAAATACTTGGTAGCTTAAAACAAAACTGTGTGCTCTGACCATTTTTCTGTTGCTGACGTGTTTGCTCAGAGAACCACTCCCAAACTCAACTATTAAAAATTTTTTAATTGAAAAAGAGATGCGGGCTGGGGATTTGGCTCAGTGGTTTTGGCTTCTGCCTCACAAGCACAAGGACCCGAGTTCGATCCCCGTTACCAAAAAAAAAGAAAGAAAAAAAAAGAAAAAGAGATGCATGTATATGGTAAAATATTCAAACCGAGCAGTACTACATGAGAGGCTCTCTCTCTCTCTGTTCTATCCTCTCTGGATATGCCTCTGTTGAGAATTCTTGTGTGCTGTGCCTATTCTAATCAGTGTGTAAAATCCTCCTGCCCCTTTTTAAACCCAGAAGGGTTCACATCTTTCAGTGGCTTCTGGCCCAGACCTGACACAGCTCTCCTGCGAGTCAAAGGGCTTGGAGCCATCGTGCGGATTGATTACTGGGGCCTCCCAAGTCCAGAGCGCTGTTGTACCAGCGGACAGAATCTGCTCCAAACCAGCCTTTGACCTCCATCTGGCGCCACCTCCTAGGCTTTGCGACCCTGTAGATAAAGCACCCCTGGGAGGCACTCCAACACCACACATGCCTCAGTTTCCCTGTAAAAGGCGAGGACGCCAGTGGGGCTCTGAATCCCTCAAGTGCCACAGAGACCAGCTCGGAGCGAGGGTGGCAGGCATAGGATAGAAGTTTGGCAGCCAGCCCCCACCCAGGAGGTGAAATTTGAGCAACACGCCTTCAGGGATTAGCAACCGACCGCCCTAGGAGCCAACGCTTTTCTATCTCCCCGCCTCCCTCTCTTCCTTTCCCTTCCCTTCCCGGGGTTCCCTCCTCAGACTC